CAGGAACAAGCTTTAAGATCTCCCAGAGAAGGATGATGAATGGTTTATCACGTGGGGATTGCTAGGTACCATCATGACTTCACATCTCCGGTCTCCCAGTACATCCTACCAGTGGATGAGTCTTCAATATCTTGAGATGCGATACTGCAGTGGGTAGGTAGTCTTCCTGGGAGCTTGGCAAAGCGATGAGTGGGAAACTCAAAAGTCCGAAGGGGGTTCTGGTGCTGGCGCTGGCGTTCACGAGAGGAATGCATTATATAGATATTAAAGAATGATCAGAACATTTCTGCTCACGTATCATCCTGATTCAAACGCAAGGAAGATACGGCAAATGCCATCATCGCTATATGAATTCCCAATATCTTCTACACAGTACTTTGGTACATGTCACTCACCACAACCACAACAGGTACACGATCCGCGATCACCAACATCAATTTATATTCACACTTGCACTTGCACTTGCACTTGCACTCACACGAATACCTCACACATCACACACATCCTACCACTTACACAGGAAGCGTCTCGTACAACGGTACAATGAATTCCTCCAAGATACAGAGGACAGACAGACACAGAGTGTAGGAATTACCTGTTAATTCCCTTTCTCCATATCATTTCACCAGATTCACATCTAAGATGGTTCTGTTTCGCCCAGGAAAGTGGAACTTCTAAGCACATGGATTAAATTCATTTATTTTTAGAGTGTCTTGCTCCCTCCCTTGTAAATTGCGAAGGTAATCTGCGGTTCTATCGTGTTCTTTGTGCAAAGTAGACGCCTTCCTTCGATCATTGATCTTTTTCTCTGCCAAGCTCCGAATGATGAGATATGCCTGAAAGGATTGTGTTCGAGCCAAACGGCGGTTCCATTAGACGTTTTGTAATTTTGGAGCGTTTACATTATGACATCCGTTGGTGCCAGAGCTTTTTGGAAGAAGGAACATACTCTTCTCACCCCACGTTTCCGCCCTTTCACGAGCCTCTTTTCACTAATCCCAGTCATGCAAATCACAAAATCAAAGGTTGAACATGTCCATATTTTACACCAATCGGTTTGGATATCGTCGAAACCCCCCGACTACTCCGTACATGTGTTTCGCTGTAGTGATCGTTAACATTCAAGACTGTTGAGGGAACACGGATGAACTTGCCGCCTCCTCAGATGAAATGTTCTTCTTGGTCAGCACAAGGTATTTATCACGCATACCTAACTTCTAAGTTATGCCATAAGAAGGGAGATGCAGAGTCAGCCAGTCTAGTGGCGTCCAATGTTTACCGAAGTCTAGAGATGGAGAGACTCAAGACTCAGGAGTTGGGGGTGAAGATTAATGAGTGGTCAACGGTCGCAGAGATCCCAAAGCATAATTATTTTCTTGGACTTTCATTGCTTGAATATGTTACATGGAGTGGCATCTCGAAAAGGTTGGAAGAAGGACGTTTGCTTTTGAAACGCTGCAACATCATCACCATACATCTCTCAACGCGTGTGTAAAGGCATCGAATGAATATCCTGCAGCCAGGCAGGCACCTTTCCCCTCCACCGATCTTATGGGTCTCATCTATGTGAAGTTCCCAGTCAAGGCTTTACACTACTTCAAACTATATTCACACCTTTGGTCCTGCATCTGATGCTAGTGAGTGATGATATAACCTTCTCATTCTTGCGTACTGTTGTGGAGCTTTGAGTTGCGATGAACCAAGCATCATAAGAGCGTCACATGTATCTCACATGTTCACTTGGATTTTTCCCGTCTGTTGTGTCGAACTCTTTCATACACATACACATACACATGCGCATACACATACATACCGTATACACATTGACAGCAGCAACATGGATTTTGTATCTCGAAATTGAATGAATTAGGAGACCGCGAATAGCGGTTGTTCCAATATTCGAGTTAATGGCAGTACATAGCGGTACATAGCGGTACTTTCAAATAAATGAATCTTTCATAATCGACACCAACAGGCCGATCACACTTATGCTCGCTTTAACTTAAATGATTGAGATGCATAGAATGTCTCGAATGCATTGACGCTGCCAGCATATCACGGACCAAGCTTGGTCAAAATAAGATACAACTCAACCCCTGTTTTACTTCGTACAGACATTTTCGATGGCGAGATTGAGATTCGAAGGGGAGGCCACTACTTGATTAATCGAGAGTAGAGTTGCAATGTGAGCGAACGTTCGGAGGGACTGGATATATTGTGATTGAACATTGTACCCTTTCCTTTTCACCGCTCATCCAACCTCTCTCTCCATGATCTATCGGATATCGTTGTGTGCTGAATGCTGAATGCGGAGGGAAATCCATACTTGATGATCATTGGTAGCCTCATCGATTGTTTATGTCTGGATATGCATCGACCAGCAAGGATACGCGAGAATGCTGTGGATGATTTCTCGTATGCTTGATTTTCTTTATCGAGAATCATGAGCTCGGGGTTCAACGAGTACGAGGCAAAGCTAACAAGTAGTACTTTTCTCCGGAAGAGAGTGAGTTTGTGTTGTGTGTGTGTGTGTGTGTGTGCTAACCAAGATCCTTCATGACTACATTCTTCCCACGATATGATTGATCGAAGAGATTGCTATGCTGCTCTCTCATTGTCCCATCCATCCAAGTGAATTTTAAAAATAAGGACTGCCAACCAAACTATAGATACCACAGTGATCACACCCTGACTTAGTGTCGCAATAATTATTCCGATAGCATGGTTACGATGATGACTATGGAAAACTCTCTTTCACAGATTCACGGATTGCAGTTACAGATGACAGGAGGGAAGATGGAGGTAAATATAGAGGGAAAATATGGAAAATCGAATATAGGGGGTTTTTGGAGTCGCAAACAAACTTGATAGAAGGACGATCTATCTCATCTATCCTCAAGGAGGATCCATCGATATCTATTGATATCCATTGAAATCCATTGAATATCCATTGAATATCCATTCAAACATTCAAAGCTCACAGCTCACAGCTTTCGTCTTCTCATCCACACTTTCCAGACATATATGCAAGGACAACCCATACATATTCCTCTCTTCCATACATGTGAATCTTGCCCACTCACCTGAATCTCCCATTCAAACTTGATAAAGAAGCAAAGAAACTTCTGAAACAAATTCACAATGGCAACAATCAAGATGATAGATGATCAAACCCAGATGCTGGCAATGATCCCATCTTCCTTCCAGAATCCATACATTCCGCACTTTTATTGTACAAAATCCCAATGTCATCTCCATAGACCTCGGTAGTATGGAGTAGCTACTTCCAATCATGATCCAATATGCCATTGAACCCAGCACAACCTCGAACCCTTCGCCAATGTTTCCGCACAAGAGACCCAGGAGACCGAGGAGACCCAGGAGATCCAAGAGACGCAACAAATTAATATATTGGTCCATATGTTCACATTCACCTGCATCCCTGAGGAGCGCAGGAACATGTACGCGGAGGACACGTCATGTTTGTCTATTGCTGTGATCTCCTACACTTACTGCACGATAATCATTGCAGGAACATCACCAAAATCCAGATAGTCTCCCGGTTACTCAGCATGCACACCAGGTACAAATTAATATCATTGGATTTCTCTCCTAAACTTTCTTGGGGTTCAATTTCAATGCAGACTGGAATGCGGACTTTCCAAGAAGTAAAAGTGTGTCCCACTGGCATCATTCACCGTGCTCTCCTCTTCAATCGGAACTATTCTTCTACCATGAGTTAGCTCAACGCCGCCCGTCGGCCGGTCCAGTTCATTGGGTCGACGCTTTGGTCTTGGTTGTGTGTCTATAGATTATGCAGGCCGGAATAGCCTCAATTTAGTGTTGTGTCGCGAAAATTGACCTCTTAGAGTGAGGAGAGGAAAGGAAATCAAAATAAACAAGCATCAATCCCATCTGACATGTTACACCCACATCTGGCATCTTACACCTGTGACCTTACACCTTACACCTTACACCTTACACCTCAGACGCTTATTATACATGTAGCTAGTAGCTACTACCAGGCTATCCAACATAATATGACGATCCTTCTAGTCCAATTGACCAATCAGCAATCCCAGAAGCTATTATACACCTTTTCCCATCTTCATATCCCTAGTAAAAACATTCATTACCTCGTTGTCGCCTCGTATCTAGGAGCTGGTGGAGTATCCATCGGACTCGATTTGGTTTTTACCCCTCACAACTTCACCCAGAATGCTCGAGGTTCATCCCGTCTCTTGTTGGATAGATGTACACTTACATGATACCTTCTTATCTAGCCATAGTACGCATATCGGCAGACAGGCTTGCTATCGTTTTTGTTTTATTTTTTTCCAATATCTGGAAAGCTCCACAAGGTATTCTTATATGTACTTATATAGCGAACGGACTCTTATCCCACTCTTCGGCAACCCCCAAGTGCCAAATGGTACAAGTATCCAATATTACATTCCCGCCTTTATATCTGTTTGTCGCTACTCCAGATAACCGAAATCATCACTCCTGTGCCGTCAATATAGCCGCAATAAGCCATCATAGATTCATAGATTCGATGGTTGAAGTATAAAACATCAATGATCTAGGAGTTAATTTCTCCAACGTGTGATGTACATTTGATTCTGATAAGCAAATCTATGAGCACCAACATCGTACGCTACAAACGACGATGACAATCTTGTAATTTGTAAAAGTTTACCCCAGATACTCTTTCTCTATATCTGATGCAAACCCCCCTTGTTCACATCACTTGGTCAAGCCATCAAGGAGTCAAAGACCCTGAAGTGATGGCTGACATCCTGTGCGTCTGTTTACTGTCATGTCAATAATCAATATTGAGTGGATACACGCTATGACGATATATACAATATATTGTTTGATAGTGAGAGTGATTTCAATTTGCGGATCTCAATTGGACATCAAGAGATCCATCGATCAATCTGTCGAACCCAAGAGAGATGATATAGCGAAATCTAATTGTGATTCACGGGAGCTTTCTCTCCACCCTGTATGGAATATGAACAATACATAGTAGTATAGTGCAGGACATAGTATAGTACAGTACAGTACAGTACAACACAATACAACCCACAGTATAAAGAAGAACCGTTTACCCCATCAATCGAACCCTGGAATAGGGGCAAAGGGGAGCGGCTTATGCTAGGAATTCTGACTGTTCGACGTTGGCACTGATCTCTTTTGGGTTTTGGATGCAGGAAGATGGCATGTAAGGTGAGGGGCTCCGAACCTGTTCGCGTTCGCGCTGACATGCGTTGTATATCTGAGACTTCAAACAGATTGTGATTTATTGTAATTGCATAAAGAAAATACGGAGTTGAATTCTCACGTGACAGTTGATGTTCATCAATAAATGCACACCTCAAGTATGCTAGGCAATCGAGCACAAGGTTATTGATTTCAACATGTGAATTCTCAGCCTTGCGAATCCTGTCGCGTCAACCCCGACAAACTTAACTACATTGCCATCTCACCCAGAAGTTCAATTCAATATGCCACCAGAACTGTTGCCATCAGATGAAGAATACGCATCATCAGAAGATGAGGATTTCGCACCAGATACGGCGCCAGCACAAGAAGAATCTTCAGAGTCAGAAGCTGAAGATGAGGATTCGACAGCTGTAACGAATAAGTCCAAGAAAAAGACTACGAAGAGAAAGAGAGGTGATGATGAGGAAGCCGAAGATGCGGGGTTTGAAAATTCAGGTGATGAAGCGATTATTGAGAGAGGCTTGAAGAGGCGGAAGAAGAAGAGTAGAAAGGTGGGGAAGGAAGAGGAAGATGAGGGTGGTGAAGGAGGTCTGGTGAAGACGAGGAGTATGCGTGCTCAAGAGTATGTTTATCATTCATCATTTGTAAATGTTTTTACTGATGAGTGCATGTAGGAAAGTTGAGAAGAAACCTCTTGCAGATACAAAAGCTGCAACAGTAGATGTAGACGCCTTATGGGCAACCATGATATCCGGCAAACCTATCTCATCCAACACGACCGAACCTAATCCCTCCTCACAAACCACAAACACATCTACAAGTCCTAAGACCGGGAGAAAATCTCCAGAGCCCCATGGAGGATCCAGAGAACGCAGTAATTTCAACGATGGACCCGATTCAATGGTTATGATCAAACGCACCTACAATTTCGCCGGAAAAGTCATCACGGAACAAAAACTCGTTCCTAAAGATTCCGCAGAAGCAAAACTTTTTCTCGCATCTCAAGATTCCGCTTTGAAAGAAGGAGAGGGGGGGGAAGAAACAGAACTCTTCGTTAAGCCTAAACGCAGTCTCAAGAAAGCACGACGCTCAATCTTTGAACCTGTGGTGGAAAATCCTTTGCCGCAGAGAACGGATCTGTATTTTGGACAAGCGGCTGTAGCGAGGAATTTGACGAATGGTGTGGGTGCGACGGGTAAAGAGGCGAAGAAATTAAATACGGTAGAGAAGAGTGCGATGGATTGGGCTGGATTTGTGGATAAAGAGGGTTACAAGGATGAATTGGATGCAGCTGGGAAGAAGAAGGGAGCATATGGAGAGAGACAAGCTTTTCTGGCGAGAGTGGAAGCTAAGAAGGTGGAGGATGAGAGGAGGGCGAGGGGATTGCCTGTTTGAGGATAAGTGTGTTCTTTTTTCGAATGATGGCTTTGGAGTTTGGGATCTGGGGCGTTGGGTATAATGATTGGATTTTAGATGAATCCAGGGTTGGGCAAGTTTTATGCTCTAGTAGTCATGGAGATATTTGGATCTGTTCAGTGAACGTTGATCTACCTCTCTCCTCTGTACAGGAACTTTCTCGTTATTCCTCTCTTGGAAGTTCTTCGAGTTCATACATACATACATACATACATACATACATACCCACGAATATTCAGTAGAGTAGATGAACATCCTATCTTTGAGAAAAGAAGATGTATACGTTGAATACATAGAAAGAACGATTCTCTTCCTGTGCATATTGACTAAATCATCTTTTCTTGTTTGTTTTGTCTTTCTTTCTTGCTTTATTCTCCTCTGTGTTTTGTTTTGTTTTGTTTTGTTTGTTTTGTCGTAGTGAGTGATGTTGAGTAGTATTGAGTATTATTAAATAATATTAAATATATTAAATAGTATTAAATAATATCAAACAATATTAAATATAATAAAATATGATATAATATAATATAATATAATATAATATAATATAATATAATATAATATAATAAAATATAATAAAATAAAGTTTTATTTATATTTAATAAGTTAATTATAAACTATATATAGTCACCAGGTACTACTACTAGTTACTTATCAAAATCATACTAAAATTCATTAAAACTTATAGAATATACTTTTGATTTTTAAATTATAAGATCATTAGTTAGATAAATAATTATATAATTAGATTAAAGATTAATTTAAAAAAATTAAAAATTATATGATTTATTTTTAATAATTGTTTATATTGTATTAAAGAATAATAAGTTGAAACTAAAAGAAAAGAAATATTCTTAGAATATTGAAATTTATTAATAAAGTAAGCGGAAATCATAAACTTTTATAAATATGTTTTTAAGTAATATAATTAATGATTTAAAAAGATTCAAAGAGTATTAAAAATATGATTTTATTAGATATTATTATCGAAATAATATATATATTAAAATTAAAATTAAAATAAAGTAAGAATATTTAATTAAAGTTATTGATTTTATATATAATATAAGTAGTAAAATGACTTTTTTTAATGGGATTTTGATAAGCAACTAGTAGTAGTACGCTAGTACTATAGATGAATGAATGAGTGAATTTGTAAATAAGAGGAATTATTTGTTTACTCTGATATAACTTGAACTATACTACTAATGTTAATGTCGAGATGAAGATGAAGGTGAAGGTAGAGGTAAAGGTAAAGGTAAAGGTATAGGTGTTTATATGTGTTTAGGCCTGTATATCTATATTACGATATACATGTAATTGCGTCCGATTGAGCTAAGTATAATATTAAGCTTCAAGCTAATGTCATATATAACTCTATAGTATACTTTCTTTAGCTTTATAGCTTTTAATTTTAAAATTAATCTTTAAACATTTATTAAGTTCGTTATATTATTAGAAGCTTTTCCAAATAAGAAATAGAATAATATTCATATATATTTATAAATAAAGCTTTTATATATACTTTGTTTACTTTTGTTTAAACATATTACTTTTACTCTCTTATTTGTATATAAATCTTCTTAATATTATTTAAAGATATTATCTCTTTTCTTACCCTTAATTTTTTAATTATAGATTATAATTCAATAAACCTTATAATTACAAAGTTTTATAGTAAAATAACTCATTAATAAAATAAAATCGTATTTCTATGTTTTCTAATCCTTAAATATGTTTTTGTTGATTTTATTTCTTCTTAATTAAAACCTTCTTTTTCTAACCTTAAAAAGTTTAATAATAACTCTTAGAAATTTGATATATAATTATTTTCAATTCAAATAAAATTATAAGTAGATAGTATTATAATTGATAATTCTATAGCTTAATTTTGTTATATTTATTTTAATCTCGAATCTTATATATAAACTGTAATATTATTTGAGCTTTTTTTTCTTAATCAAAATGTTCTTTTAGATTATATAATAATTCTAAATCAATTTGTATATATCTATAACAATTCAAATAAAGTTTAAGAAGTTAAAGATAAACTATTCAATCTTAAATAAGAAATCGATTCATTATATATTTATATTACAAAATTCGAAAGAATTTCTTATAAAGTTAAAGATTAGAATTGATCTAATTTGAATAAAATTTCAATTTTTTATAATAAACTTAATACTATTTTTAAAAAAATCATCTTTCTTAATAGTTTTCTCTATTTTATTTATATTCTAATTTTATTTAAATTATATAATAATTAATTATATATATATATAACAAATAGATTCTTTATATTATTCCATTTTAATAGGCCCAAAGTCCTATATATATTACAAAATCTATTTTACTTTTATTATTATAATTTAATAAATATTAATAATCTTAATATTATTATTTGAAATTGATTATACTCTGACTTTATTTTATTTTTATACACTTGAATTTTTTTTTCTTAAAAGAATACTTTTATATAAACAAAATAAATGTGTTTAATATGAAAATACTTTTTATTAAATATAAACCTATTCATTTAATTCATATTAAAGTACTTAAGACTGACAAGAATCTATTCTAATTGTTATACTTATTCCTATTAACTATAAGAAGAATAATAATAATAAGAAGAATCTAAATAAAATAATTAATAATTAATATTTTAAAGATTACTTAAAAAAGATAGAAACTTTTAATAATACTTTCCATCTAATAGCAATATATCTAACCTTTTGATATGTTTTATAAAAAATTGATCAAGAAAATAGTAATACTAATAATGAAGAAAAAAATTATTAATTATATTTTATACTTAAATTATTTATTTAAAACAAATTCGAAACGAACTTTTCAAAAAAAAAAAAAAAAAGGAATAATGTTATAATATATATATAATTGTATTTAATTAGATTAAATATAATATTAAGTTTTGAGCCGATTGTATATATAACTCTATAGTATATTTTCTTTAGCTCTATAGCTTTTAATTCTAAGATTAATCTTTAAACGCTTATTAAGTTCGTTACAATCTATATCTCTAATATCTCATTCTATTTTATTTCATCTTATTATATTTCATTCTATTTCATTTTATATTTTTATATATAATTCCATTATACTCAATCTCTTCTCTTCTCATTTCATTTCATTCTAATCTATCTTCTATTGTTTCATCTCATCTTATTTATTTCATTCTATTCTATTCTTTTCTATCTATTCTATTCCATCTCACTCTTTTTAATTCATCCTAGTCCATCTCATCTTATCTCATCTAATTCAATTTTATCCCATCCTATCTAATCTTATCTCATTTCATTCTATTCCATCTCAACTCATTCTATTACATTTACTTTACTTCATTCTAAATTATTCTATTCCATCTCATCTCACATTATCCCATCTCACTTCAAGAATTTGAACAGAATATGAAATATTCTTTTTAGATCTATATCTATATAGATCTTAATCTTAATCGAAATGAAGTTGAAATGAAATATAGATATAGATATAAATATAGATATAGATATAGATATAGATATAGATATAGATATAGATTAAATATAAATCTTAATTCTATATTTCATTTTATATCTTTTTAATTGATATTAAAAACTATATATATATTAATATTTATATTTCATTTTAAATAGATATAAATAAGATATAGAATCTTTTAGATTTAGATATAGACTTAAATATTGAAAAAGATGTTAAATTACATCTAAATCGTTATTCACATCTATATCCCAATCGAGATAGATGTGGAATGAAATATAGAATAAACAGAATGAAGTATAACAAACCAGACAGAAAGACCGAATAGACAGCGGGTGGCTTTCGAGTCGGTTCGGTTCATTTCAGCTCAACTCAATTCAACCGAGTATACATTTATCTGTTCATTTGCCTATCTATCTATTTATCAATCTACCTATCCATCCATCTGCCTACTAGATACATACCTATATATCTACACCAATCCTCTCTCCTTCTCGAGTAAAACGAAAACGAGAACAAAATCAAAAATCAAATTTAAAATAAGTCAGTATTCTTCTCACTCTCCCCTCTCCCTTCTCTCTCCATCCCCATCTGTAAAGCTATTAAAAATCGAAATTCAACTATTTCAGTATTACAAGATAGAATGAATTATCCATTCATCACCTATTCATCACCTACCCCACCATGCAAAATTACCAGTAGCTCCGTAAGAGACGGATCATCCAATGCAGAGTCCAGAATGCTTTGAATACCGACCTAAGTCTTTCAGATATCAGCATTAGCATTACCTTCTTAAGCCCTTAATATTTCAATGTTTATAGATATATAGATTTATAGAGATGCATGTATACAAATATATATATATCTGTATCCGATTATATGAAATTAAATGAAATGATTTGATTTTATATCATATAATTTGAATCATTTAATTTGTTTGAAATTGAAAGATTTTATTAATAAATTAAGTAAATAGCTAAACTAAATTGATAAATAAAAGGATAATAATGTAAGGGGAATTGCTTAAAAGAAAAAGAAAGGAAAAGAAAAAGAAAAAGAAAAAGAAAAAGAATGAAAATTGATGAATAGAATATATTATATTTTATAATATATATATTTAACTATATAACTAGATTAACAAGCATCTAAATAAATGATTATAAGAATAAAGATAAATCAAAATATAATTATAAAATATAATACTATATAATATAATACCTAATTATTATCAAATAAGACAAAAAGAAAAAGAAATAGATAGAGAATGTTGAGATAGAGATCATGTGACTACGCTAGCGTTAACGCTAGCGTCTTCCGACACTATAGTAATACGTTTCATAGCCCTAGCTTTTAGAACCTCAAGTAATATAATAATAGTATGAATCATAGTACTATATTGACTTCATCATCCTCATTATGATACTAATAAAGAAAAAGAGATTACATATAGATAAACAAATAAAATATACTAAATAATATATAATAATAAAAATAATCTGTCTAGATATTTATAGATGTATATATAGGTATATATAGATGTATATATCTATACTCGATTATTTAAAATGAAATAAAATGAAATGATTTAGTATTATATGATTTGAATCATTTTACTTGTTTGAAATTGAAAGACTTTATTAGTAAGTATTACGACGGTATTCAATATACCGCGTCACATGGCCAAATGGTCACGTGATGGACCTAGAGGATCTAGGGGATCGAAGAATAAATATCTAGATCTATAAGATCCAAAGGATTCAAGCAGAACAGAGTCTCATAATTCTATAGAAAACGAAGGTCTATATAAGGAATAGGGTTTCTTTATATATAAAGCTTTATACTTAAGAATAATTATTAGTTTTATTATTATAATTACGAGAATTGTAATCAATTATAATCTTATTGAATTCCTATTTGAAGTTCAATCTAAACCACCTCGAGAGATCTCTAGACACTTCCACGTGACCCTAGAGGCAGCTCCCGTAACAGTAAGTCGAGTGAGTAGCTAAACTAAATTAATAAATGAGAGAATGACAATATGAGGAGAATCGCTGAGAAGAGGAGGAGAGGAAAAGGAAAAGAATGAAAATTAATGAATGAAATATGTTATATTCTATATGACATATATACCTAACTATATAGCTAGATTGATAAGCACTCAGGTAAGTAAATATAAGAATGAAGATGAATGAAGATAGAATTATAAAATATAATATAATATCTAATTATTAAATAAAAGAGAAAGAGAAAGAGATAAATAAAGAAAAAGAGAAAAGAGAGAGTATATATAAATAAACAAATAAAAAGTACTAAATGTATATAACGATAAAAATAATCTGTCTAGAAATTTATATTAGTATATACAGGTATACATAGATGTACGTAGATGTCTAGTAAGAGAATAATTTAATTGATTAATCGATTAGTTAAGTAAGAGAAGAGAGAAGAGAATAGAAAAGTATATGTTAATCTAGAAAAATATAAAATATAGAATATAAAATATAGAATATAAAATATAGAATATAAAATATAGAATATAAAATATAGAATATAAAATATAGAATATAAAATATAGAATATAAAATATAGAATATAAAGTGAAGAATATAAAATATAGAATATAAAACTATCTATTTATCTTTCTACATGTCTATTTACTCACCTACTCACCTAGTAATATCTATAGTAAACATATTAAATTATAAGATTTAGAGATAAAACAAGTAATAACATAAGACTACTATTCAGTATAAAACAGTTCAAGAGAACTTTTCATAAATACACCCATCAAATCAAATCTCAAGAAGCATATTCTCACTATTTATAAACCTATGAATAACTCATCGATACATTCATTCCTTCCCCCCTCTTCTATTCACAACCTAACCTACTAATCCATCCATCTGGGTATTTCGCATAAAAGTAGAGATGAGAATATCTGATAAGAAAAATGCCTATCCCACCCACCCGACCTTAAAAAACACCACTCACTTCATGAGTCATTAATAATCCATGCTATGCTGTCCATCCATATACATTCATACCTTTAGCCATACCCCCAATTCCTATGTAGATCAAAATTTCCTACCTCCAAATACCAGGTACACACGCGTGGATTCATCTCCTCGTAATACCATATAAGGCTACATTCCAAACCTTGGCAAGTAAATTGGCAATTAATCCTGTAGTAGCCAAAACAATAAAGATATTAAAAACTTCCCACCAATGTTTTGGTCTAACTTCCGTCTCAATGAATTCTTCCACGGTCCCTTTTTCTGAAGTCACGTTGGCGGGAAATCGACCAGTAGTCATGTATTGCTCCATCAAAGCATCCTTCTCATACCATCTCTCTCGTAACCATACTTCGAATTTTTCAGGGTTATCCAGAGGCATATCGGCAATTTTGAATCGACGCCAAAAGAGATTTACAGATTTTGGTGGTCGCCCCTCGATATATGAAGAGGTCAAAGTAAAGTAATCCTGGCCGAACTTTCCTCTCCTAAAAAGCATTAGAATGAATTGGCTGTTTTGAAGAAGCTGTACTTACGGAACACCTTCATAAGCCATTGTACAATCATATACATAGTCCACGGTCTTTTTAAGTTCATTTAAGCAGAAAAATGAACCGGTGCTTCTCGGAAGAAGAGTATGCTCCATATCCTTGACGCCTATTTTTGCCGCCCATTTTGCACTCGCCTCTCTTCGATTGTCACTTGCATTTGTACCCTCGGGGAACAATAGAAGCCACATAGGATCGAGGTCCGAAGCCCCCGGGCGTTTCTCTTGAAGTTGTTTGAATCGATGAGCCATTACTGGTCGGTCTTTTTCCATCTTTCTTGACATGAAAATAAAATTAAAGAACTGCATTCCCCACCCAATAATCGGAACCCATTTTAGAGAGTCTTTTACAATGATATAAATATAACCATGTGTTTGACGTTGGTTGGTATAAGCCACCCACCAGAGGTAGAGCCAGTCCGTATATAGCTATCAAAACATTTAGTGTGATAGACTTGACACATCCCAAGCTTGTACATACCTGATGATTCGCAATCATAATCAATCTTTCTGGGAAATCGCATTCGGCTCTTCCATCCGCAGTCTTTCGCAATTGCCCTGCTACCGAAGCATCACCACTTATTCTAACCACTGTTGGACTCCACCATTGTGTCATCGTCGTTATTAGAAGTCCGAATGATTGTTTCGTAAGTGCCATCCATGAATAATATATATCTCGATTGATCCAATATAAAGGTACGCCGATCAGTTGTGTAGCTTGAATCCTTGTACAGGTTTAGCCAAGTATCTCGCATCTCTTCCAGCAGAACTTACGTAGAACAACAAGCCCAGAAATAAGTCGCAAAACTTAACAGCCTGCCAATTTGTGCGACCGATCCATGCCTAACCTCACCAGAGGGGTGATCTCCTTCTTCCAGAGCCTTTTCCTTCGTTCCTCCTCCAAAATCCGGTAGAGGCGCCGGCATGGTTGGAGCCTTGTTCCTTTGCTTTAGGTTTTGGTCGGCCATGATCAGTTGATGAATGAAAAGGCCAGAATTTTCCGATTGAATGGGTTGATAGAGGAGGAAGGTAAGCTCTGAGGTTTAAATATGCACAATGAGGCTCTCTTGAGAAAGGTTATGACTAGGCAGGATTGTCGTGTGCTCGGGAAGGCGGGAAGGCTAGAGGGATGGAAGGCTATTTCGTACTACTGGCAGCTATGGTCGTTTGGCTTGGTGGGGTGGATTAGGTATTAATGGATGTTGGCGGAAGCTTTAAAGGCAAAGGCAGAGGCAGAGGAAGAAGAAAAAGAAAAAAGTAAGTATGTGTGTATGAAGATGGATTGGAAGTGAATATTAAAGCATCTTATTCCATTCCTTCATTTTTGAGTATATTTATGATGTACCCGAGATGATATAGGTTTGTGGTTGTCGTGTGAGGGGAGGGATCAATATATGTAGCTACTAGCTCGTGAAGTAAAACGCATGTGAGTGGAAGGATGTATGGAGTGAAGTGAGTGAAGTGAAGGGAGTGAAGGGAGTGATGGGAGTGATGGGAGTGATCTGAGTGAAGTAAGCTATGGTAATAAAAGCAAGCTTTGCGTAGGTGTCTACGAGGTGGACGTAAGCGGACATGATGGAATCGTATGCACAGACCATCTCTTGTTTTTGGGGGGTGGAAGTATTAAAGGGAAGCTTGTTTGGGTAAGAGAGGTAACTTATGACTTTCTTCAAATCACCATTGTGAGAATTGTCATTCAACCCATGAGAAAATATACTCACAAAACCACCAAACCCATTATGAAAGTCTTCGTCGGATGAGAGTGTCGATAGCTATCTATTTATTCATAAATAACAGCTTCATCACGGTCAAGTCATTGTGTTCTTATTATTCTTATTATTAATCAATGGATGGATGGATGGAAACAAACCTAAAAGTTCATCGACATCAAACCCTTCCCCCAAATCAATCAATATCCAACGAATTCTCAACATCCCCACCAATAATGTCAACTGTACCCATCTGGTGTTATTAGTCAGTCTCTTGCTCTATCTCTCTATCTACCATTCAAGAGAAGCTACATAGACGGCTTGTGTAGGATCATCTCGGCACTGGGGTCAGTCTGTACCACGATATCATTAATACTTCTTCCCATTCCTCAAATTCAACATGTTTCCGAGGGTGTTGCCCAGATTTCGCTCCACACAAATCAGATCTTTCAGCAACACAACTCCAAGATCGGAAATTTTAGATATAAAAAGTTTGCCGGATAGAATCATTCCTCGGTATCACCGTAAGTTGCCAAATGCGTCCTTGTACCTTGATACAGATATTCACATGAAAATTTATAGGTTCACAGGAGAGCCATCTCCTTTCTTTGCAATGGCCCTCGCCACCTCGAAATCTATTAATCATAAAGAAGGATCGTTCCCCGACCGTTGCTGAGGCTCTCCTTGAATATGTCAAGTTCGTAAAACGTATTTCCAGTGAAAATCTAAACTCTCAGCTGACTGGGTACCAGACATGTACACTCAAACTACAACACTACATCTCTCATATTCGAGAGAAAAGTAGCCGAGAGTATACACAATTCTTTGGCTTTTCCAATCTACAGTACTGATTTTCCATCCCTCTTCCCATCCAAAGTTGATATGGTAACAACACTCGGTGGAGATGGAACCATTTTACATGCATCTTCTCTTTTCAGCACCACTCGTCATGTTCCTCCAATTCTGTCCTTCAGCATGGGTACTCTAGGCTTCTTGGGTGAATGGAAGTTTGCTGAATATAAGCGAGCCTTTCGAGAAGTCTACATGTCGGGCGCTGCTGCTGGATCGCACCTCTTTCGAGACGAGATGCACCCTCACATTCAAACATCTACTTCAGATAAGATTAACGATATGTCTGGCTGGTCAAATATGAGAGGCAAGTCGATGGGACCAACACGGAGTTCGAAAGTGCTTCTCAGAAATAGATTGAAGGTAGAGGTCTTTGACGCGAATGGAAAAAGTGCTCACGAGAGTGCAGAGGGCAATGTGCATGCCATGAATGAAGTTATTATTCATCGGGGGAAAGAAGCACATTTAGCCATTATTGAAGTTTTTGTCAATAATCAGTTTTTAACTGAGGCGGTTGCAGATGGTATGATCATTTCCACACCAACAGGAAGTACGGCATATAGTTTGAGTTCTGGTGGCAGTATCATTCACCCCCTCGTCAGCAGCCTCCTTTTGACACCGATCTGTCCAAGAAGTCTTTCATTTAGACCCCTTGTTGTACCTGCAAATACACCAATCAAACTTCGATTGAGTGATAAGAACAGAGGAAGGGAATTGGAAGTTAGTATTGATGGACAAAGAAGAAGTATTGGAGTCGGCGTCGGCATGGAAGTAAGAGTTCAAGGCGAGGAAATGGTAAAAGGCAGTAGCGAGTGGGGTGGGGGCGTTCCTTGTGTTATGAGAGGGGCCAAAAGTGGTATGAAGGATGACGACGGGTGGGTTGGAGGCTTGAATGGGCTGCTGAAGTTTAATCATCCTTTTGGCGAAGAATAATGTCCGAGATCGATTGAATGGTGGATATCCAATTTATCACCGAGGCTGGATATATTTGCTCCTCATTCGTAACATGATAATTGAAAGGTACGTTTCCGCAATCTATAATTTCATGTAATAGACCTCACACCATGTAGGATATCTCGAGCCACGTTCTCCACAGGATGGATCAGGAACAATATTTGAGCCATATTTGGTTTCAAACAGCCTCAAAAAACCTGCTATTTTGTGAGTGGACATCTTGTGTAGGCCAAAATCTCGATTCTGAGTCCGCTACAAATTCATTCTCAGATGAGACGTATGTAATGAGTTTTGAGTAATCTCTCCTCCAATTCCTTCACAAAATGCAAAAGTTTGTACATTACGAAATCAGTATTACACGAGTCACCACGGAACTTAATAGATCTTATGGCTTTTCGATTCAATTCCCATCTTGGTACGATATGTGTATCGTTGCAAGAAACTTTGAATCATCAGAAGACTTTCTACTTTAGGGCTTATGGAATAACAGTCATTCAGCCGCCGATTTATTCGATGGGGATGTAGTGGAACATAATCACAATGTTCGGTTGTGCCCCTCGGCACCTTCGGTTGATTCCTACTATTGCCGTGCTAGCAACGGCGATTGTGTAAGTGTCCCAACGACCTCAAATCGTGACATATCTTCATCACATCTCCAATTCTGACTTCAATCTCTTCGGATTTCATCGAAGTTTAGTATGTGGTTACATAACTATTTTCATACTTATAGAACATTTCTCGAGTGCCCGATTCACTTTGTAAAATCAATTTACTTGAATCTACCACGTTGCTGGTGCATTTTGAGCACCCAACGCCCTTGTGAACTCTGAAATTTCAAGTACACAGCACGTTTGAATTTCTCCTATTTGGGTAACGCACACTATCCTGTCAAGATTAAAGACGATCAGATTTGGTTTCCGTGATACATGACCAATTGATGAAACAGTGCAGATGATACGTCGATCTAGCCAACATCATATTCCTTTACATATCTTTCACGCTATTTACAAATTTGTCATACCGAACAGAACAAAGTGACGTTCAAGCTAGAACGTAATTTAGGCAAGGCTGGAACCAAACCTCATTGAACGGAGTAGCGTGAGTTTGTATGTCGAGAAGCCACCAATAAGGAAGACTTTTTGTGCAATTCTCATCATCTCAGTGTAGTATCACTTGTTCTATCTCGTATTTTGATCTCTTGGATATTCTTCTACATACTCAATGCGATTACGTTGATGGCCCCAAATCGAAGATCTGAAAGATCATCGACGATGAGGTATTTACTTGTCCGGAAGGTGGGAAATCCGGCCAAGAAATCACTTCTGGCTGAACTCGACAACATCGTGCAATATTGTTGAGTTTTTGAATCTTGGAGTATAGGTGAGCTGGTTGTGGAATGGTGAGGTGATCGAGAAATAAGTATATAAGAAGAGGAAGGAGCGATCAAACGTTCTTTCTTCATCACAACAACATTATCCAGTCTTCACTTGACAACTATTCCATTCAACAAGCAACAATCAAACTCCTGCATAACCCTTCAAGCAAACTAAAAAAATCCAATTCATCAACTTTCATAAACACTATGCATTTCACACAAGCTGCTTCAGCCATTTTGGCTTCTCTTGCTTTCTCCTCTACAGTCCTCGCTGGTGTCTTGAGAACAACCGATTCTTTCTGCTCCAGCTCCGCAGGCTGTGTTTGGCAAAACCCAGCTTCTTGGCCAGGAGTTTTTGAGTGCAGCTGCAATCTTGCTTCTCCAGATGGAAAATCTGTGTATGAATTTCTACTTTCCTAACTCACCTGAACTCAAATCGTACCAAAGCAATTCCAAGCAGTAAAATAAACTAACACATTTCTCAGACTTCTCCTCCAAGGCTACACCGACTGGAACTACGAAGGATTTGTCTACAACGGTTACTCCACTACCGGCGTCTGCAACAACATGCCAGATCTCTTCAACAAGAATACCGAATCAATGAACATTAACGTTGACAACACGCCCGCTTGTTGGCTCTACACTCAGAAGGATGTAAGATTTCCTTTGCATTTCAATACCTATCGTCCAGACTTCATCTGAAATCGAGAACAACTACTAACAAGATGCAATAGTGTGTCGGCGACTATGCCGTCATCGACTCCAAGGGCATCGCAGAATTGCAAGGCTACTACGACAAGGGAATTCAAAGCTGGATTTGCGATCCTTTGACTTCTTAACTTCTCTTCTTGCTTTTCTTTCACACGTGGCGAGTACGATTTCGCAAGATATGGAAGGTTTCTAGAGCTTGGTGGATGGGTATCGACTAGTATTTGAGCGATCGAGGCCGGCGATGTCGTTTTGGAATGATTGGAGTTTGATGGATGGGAATGGGAATGGGAGGATTTCTCTTCTTTTTCTCTTCTTTTTTGGACTTTATTGTTTTTTTGGAGCGATGAGTGGGATGGATTGAGCCTTCTTGGGTTTGGAAGAAATGGTGAGAGGTTTTTGGAGATGATTTTAGGAGGGAACTTTCGAATACTTCTTCTTGGGGGAATCCAACATTCCCGCCTTTTATTTTGATTCTTTTTAATCTTCATTCTTAATTACTAGATATTGGTAGTTGGTTGGTGTTAGGTAGCGAGTTATTATATCTTTTGAAATTACTTTATCTCTTTTAATTTCGCTTTAGCTGCTGTGATTTGTCATCTGCTCATTGGTACTTTTACTGCGATCTCATTCCAATGTATCTACTTCGTCCGACTAATCATCCAAGCAGTCACAAATCCTTTCCACAACCTACAGCAAATCTACCTACCAACAACCCACCTCAAACCGTATACCTAAATTCCGGATGTCTATGCCCCAACATTTCTATATTCCCTTCCAACAATCTCCCATCCCTCTCCCCCCTTTCCCTCTTCCTATTCTCCCACTTACAATACCCCATCGTGATACTCGTCACCACCAAGCACAAACCCAACATCCCGAGATTGATGGCGTGGCCGGTGATGTAGCGCGGGGCATCAGCGGCTATGTAGGTGAATGTTGCGATGAAGGCGGCGATGTTGGCGAGGCCGATCTGGAGACCGGAGGCGGAGGCTCGTACGTAGTGGGGAGAGGTATTGTTTGCTAGCCAGCCTTTTGGGGGGGAGATGGGTGGTTAGTTGGGGGTTGTGAGGTTGGAGTTGTTTTTGCTGGTTTTTCTTTTTCCTTTTTTTTTTTGGGTGGGGAGAGGGAGGGGAGATATATGGGATAGAAGGGAGAGAAGTACACACCCATAACAACAGGCGGACACGCAAAACTTCCCGCGGCAACAAGAAACGTACCGCCATATTGGATGTGAGGTCTCGAGGTTGCGATGAGCATTATATAACCGACAATGGCGATGCTAGCACAGATGAGCATCAAGAGTCCGCGACGCTTGAAGTGATCTGAGAGGGAGGTGACAAGGATCACGCTGAGGAATGCTGTCATGTTTGGGGGGACGGTTAGGAGGTTTGCTTAAAGGGGTTTAGGGATTAGTCTATTTGAGAGTATTGGTAGGAGTTAAGATGACATGAAATGAAGGGGGTAAACTACCATTTACCCTCGTATACCCCAACGCCGTAATAATCGTCGGTAAAAAGAGCGAAAACGAATAAATAGGCGTGATGACGGCAAAAAAATTCAAAGAAAGTAACCAGGTATTCCAGTTACACACTGCGAGCTTCACCCAATGCCAGTCAAATTTCTCATTGTCGATATTAGCCACGGGGGACGCACCGCGAGAATCGAGTTTCATGCGCTGGATTGCGAGAGAGCGGTGTTCTTCTGTGAGGAATTGCGCATGCGAAGGGGTATGCGGCAGGAAGAAAATCGTCAGAATGCCAAAGAGAAGCGTGATGGCGCCTTCGACGAAAAAGATAAAGGGCCAGCCGTTATACCGCTTTGTTTTTATTTGAGAGAGGCCCGTCGCGAGGAGTCCGCCAAAGGCGCCGGAGAGAGGGGCTGCGCAGTAGAAAAGGCCAATGCGTCGCATGAGTTGGTGACGACGGTAGAACATGGCGAGGTAGATGATTATACCGCCTAGCAAACCGCCTTCCATGAGACCGAGGAAAAATCGAGCGATGAGAAGGGATTTCCAGGTGGTGACGAAACCGATGCAGAGACTTATGAGGCCCCAGCCTATGATTAGGGCGGGGAGGTAGTAGCCTGCTCCTATCCTCTTGACGAGCCAATTTGAGGGGACTGGAGTATGTCAGGTTGATGGATTAAGTAATTATGTGATGGAGCGGATGTACGGAGATGGACATACCATCAACACATATATACGGAACGTAGAAAATAGCCAGCGCGATATTAAATTTTGTTCCTGTTAAGATGCCCAAATCGGCAGCGAGTCCATCGATTTTCGCATTTCCGATGTTGGAGCGGTCGATGAAAGCCAAGAGCCATAGGCCGAACAACCAGGGAACGATGTGGCGATCGAATTTCTTGGTGATGAGTTGATCGAGTTCTGTGGAGATGTGGAGTTCTTCGTCTAGGGGAGAGGGAGTGTTGCTTGGGTTTTCGAGTTCGGTGATTGTGAGTTTTTCATCGGGGAGCTGCGAGTTTGAGGATGGAGATGAAGAAGGAGAGATGGTTTGGGAGGTTTGTGGGCTTCCATCCGTCATGTTTGGTTGGAGACCAGCGGATTTTTCAATCGTAGATGAGATGGATTTGAAAGACGATTTGCAAGAATTATGAGATACAGAAATTTCTTCAGGGAATAGTCTAGATTTGCTTGAAGTTGTACTTGTGGATTGTTACACAGCAGATACATATATATTTAGCTATCTAATTGCAGCGTACGTTACGGATTCGGTGGCACCATATGTGTATGTATGTATATATATACCGATCAACGGTACAAAACCAAATCTAGAGAATCCGGCATTCTAGAGGCGGGGAAGGAAGGTGACGTGCGGGTTAACCGGGGGCCATGTAAAAATGAAGCTGCAGGAGTTAGGGTCGGCCAATGAGGATTCGAGGTGGGAGTTGCTGGATAAGGAATATGTAACATACCTATTTGAGTAAGTACCTGTGCAAGTTTTGGTTAGATATTGATGGCTGTGAGTTTGTGTGATTGAGGTATGTGTGAGACTTGTCTGTGGAGGTTGGAACCTGTTGAATGATTGGAGCGAGGAGTGCACAACCCCCTCCCCTAGCGATGAATGAGGTTTACTCATATGATATAGTATTATTTTGATGGAGTGATTGGATTAAGTTGAGATTTGATGGCCAAGTTGGAATCATATTTAAGTTGTATGTTATTCTAAGGTTATACAAACAACTCACAAATTCGAATATTTATTGCAATGATATGTATCAATCTTACCAGTAGCTTATTTTTAGTACCCCTTCATTATAACGCGATTCAAGTAATTCGTCTTATCATGTTGTATTGATCCAGGCCTAGCAAGGTATGATTGTGCCGAGGAGGAAATTGTCTCTGCCGAATCTGAAATGCCTAAATTACACCACTACCTGTACCAACAGATTACTATCAAAAGTAGCGAATCTGAACGATGCAAGATATTCAGATAAGCGACATAAGGAATACTAGATGATTATGTTTTGATCATGCCGAAACGGTACACTATCATCTATCACTCTATTATTGACAGTTTACAACATCCATCAATTTCACAGAATCTCATTAGCCCTTATGTCTCCTTCTGGAGAGTCATGTAAAATATGAGTACAGCAATCAGGGTATCAGCACGAGCCGAGAGATCCAAGTAACTAAATCTCCATGCATCCTCAGGTATGCAACGAAAACTCCGGTATTTCCCCCAAGAATCTCCCTGCAAAAGTCGACAGGACCTACAATAATCCAACCAGACACAGATCCTCAAACATCTGTTCTTCTTTTCGATTCTTTCCTCGACAGCATCCTTCATGAATTCAAGACATCATGAACTCTTCATCCAGCCAGATTCTATCTCGAGATTGTCGAACCTTCTACCTCTGCCAAAGCGACTATCTCTATTCTTCCCCGGCCAGGCCAGTATTGAGCTAGATCTTTTGAATTCCCACACAATCCGCAAACTTTCGATCAAAACTCTCGTCCGTTTCCTCGTCCCAGATATGCTCAGTGTAATAGAAACATCTGAAGGCAGTTGTTCACAAGCTATCTATACATCTACGAGAGATCCTCCGAAGTGTTTAAAAACCATCCATATTGAGAGCAAGATACCGTAGAAGCTTCGAAATCCTCGTAACTAATATTATGCTTCCCCAGTCAGATAACTTCCAATATGTAAAGTCCACCAGTGGGCGTACGAACTGACGGGACACTGCAAAAGTTGACTTGTGAATATTTCTTAATATGTAAACTCCTATATCTTAAGAATTGTCACAATTGCTTACTAGAAATGAAACAATTAGAACGTGAATTTTGATATCAAACAATTGAAGAATGAATTTATTAAAAATTTCAAAAGGTGGGAAGTGTCCCGTCAATCCATGCACCCACTGGTGGTCCACATCGCTATCACCACATTGACAAGTGATATTACGCTGGACGATAGTTTATTTGTCTGGCGAGCCTATACCTTTGAGTTGAATCTATTTCCTTCAGTAAACTTCATCTTTCCAGTCTTGAAGAAGTCTCGACGTACAGTTGGCTAGGCTATGAGATGCAATGGATTTGAGTAGTTCCATTCTTTCTCCAAAGTGCTCCTTCCCCCTTTCCATTTCCATCGAGGTTTGAAACCGAAGACCTCGCGCATCTTGTCCTCCAGTGCCTATAATACCATCTACGTTCGATGATTAAATATGAAGCTAGAAGACTACCGTATCTTACATCAAGTTCTGACGTCACTTCTTCGCGTCTGGTAGCAGCATACTTCTCCTCGTCTGCTCTGCTGTAAATCTCCGTTCGTCGAGAGATTCCCTACTGATATCATGCAATACCTTCCGATACTGTGTAGAGATATTGAGATACTTTTTGGTGATAGTCTTATATATACACTGCGGCGTAGAGTTAGCCAATACCATTACAATCGATATTAGTTCAATTGTTCTTGGAGGTTAGCTCTAGAATAATAATAATAATATTAGTATTCTAGTATTAGTGAAAGACTTCGTCATTTTAGCTTTTAGGAATAAATCGAATATATAGTATGAGAGTTGAATTGAAGTTAAATTATAAGAAAGAGTTTGAATTGATCTGAATTTGCTTACTTTTCTAGGTTTTCTTTAAAGATTATTCTAGATTTATATAGTTTATAATGTAATTTCATGATATAAAATCATATTATATATATATTAATCATCAATATATCTCTTAATTAGTAAGAATTTAATAAGTGATTTAGTATACTTATTATAGAATCTCACAGTTTTTACCTACAGATATCGCGAGGTCCAACTAATCTTTTGAAGACATCTTGAAAACTATAGGCTTTCTTCAAACCATCCTTCTGAGACGCACTCCACCAAGATCGAAGAGCTCTATCTTCAATTCTATCTGCTCTGCTCTGTAAGAAAGACTTCGAACTAGATTCTCTCCATCTTCGTCGCTGTCGGTTTCTACAATGGGAAGCCGAGATGACTCCATATAGTTGATAGTTGACGAGTCTTAAATTTCGAGATGAGTATTGTCATTCTGCAGCTAGAAAGATGGGCCGTGCAATTAAGAGGAATGAAACTTATAATATTGTTGAACTTAGATTGACAGATTGAAGGTATAGATAAAATTAAATGCGTTGGGTACAAGACTAGAGAGAAGGGAGAGAAGAATTCCACCTTACATTAGACGACGGTTAGGCGGATCCTGGAAGTCAAGAGTCAACAGACTGATTCCATATCATGATACCTCATCCCAATAGGAAATATAATACGTTGTCATACGTCTCAAGATGGGATTCAATAGATGGAGTTTCATTTACCAATTGAACTCTATGAGCTTTGTCTGTCTGGCTACCAAGAATCACCTTGTATGATAAGCGTTGCTAGTCTAGTACTCTTTCAGCTTTGGTTGATTGTATGGGTGGCGTTTGGTTTCCCAGTTGATTTCCAGACTTGAAGATATAAGAAGTTTAGTGTTAAATAAGTCGAAAAAGGGCCAAATGACGCTGTTGCCATAGTACAATGATGCTAAATTTTCCATCCGGTTGTACTGATAGTAATTAGAATCATTGTATCTAAGACTGTGATATGAAAGGGTGCCTGAAGCATTATTCAGAAAAAGGTTTATTCAAAGGGCTCCAACATAACTGTGGTTTTGAATGACAAAATATTCTATTTAATGGAATAAAGTGATTCATTTCATGCACTAACTAATACATTTTTCTCCGCGTATTTAACCGGATGCTTTTGTCTAAATTCTCAACAAACTTGCCTTCCCAAAACATCTACTGCCCGAGTATTCGGGCCATTCTCCAAGCTAAACTTTGCGAATTTTCCCTTCTCTCTCAAAGCCTTCCCATACTTTATAAAAACAAAAGGGCTAATGAGCCATAAAGTTGCGACTCCAGCTAGTATCGAGCCGGCAACATTTGAACCCAAGCCGTTATACATTTGGTCAGCAAACAAAGGGAATATGCCAGAGAGAAGGGCTCGAAGAGTCGAATATGCGGCGAAGGCAGAAGATGCGTAGACAGTATAGGTCTGTGTGTGTCAGTCTGGGACAGGGGAAAAGGGTAAGAGTAGATGAACTTACATCGGCTAAATAATTTCCAAGTGCATACTCAATTTCATTTGCTGCAAATCCAGCACCTGCTAACCCTATCATTGGTACTACCCAGTCAATACCATGAACTAAAGGTGGAGTTGTCCAAGCCATAAGCCAAAGGCCAGCTGCCAAAGCTGATGCTCCGGTAGCAAAGCCGATTATCTTGTCTTCTGGTTCTAACTCTTTTGTTTCGGCACGCTTCTTGAGATGAAAAAATTCTACCAGCCTGACCGGAATACCAAAAATTGTTCCCATAGCATATGCAATGAATGCTAAAGAGTATGAAGTCGGGCTAAATCCATATGGCTTGAAGACAATATCCAAAGACTCAGTGAAAAGAAACAGTAGAGAAAATGCTATAGCAGATAAGGTTGCCATTGTGAGGATGATGGGCTCCTGAAAGAATAATTTGGCTGGCTGAATGATGGCACTCTGACAAAAGGTATGAAAATCAGGAACATGATCATCTGCTGTTTGTGTGCGGATTTTCAGTGTTCCTGCACATGATTGTATAGCGATAAGATGATTTCCAAGGAGTTTGCTTGGGCGCGTTTCGGAGATACCTAGGAGAATGACAACAAATATGCAGACAGAAACAATAGAGCCAATATGATACAACCATCGCCTTCGTTTGGTCTTGAGTTAGCTTGGGTTCATTATCGAGAAACCACGGGTGCATAATTTAGGATCAACTCACCAACCTAGTACGCTAGTGACGTAGCTTCCATATATCGGTCTATTCTACTAGTCAGTCGAGATGTTCCATACCTCCTTCCATCAGTCGTTCCTTATTTGGAGAAAATTCGAGATTTTTGTTCGAGTTCACTTACCCTAGAGCAGCACCTAGTCCCGCAGATAGTACCCATGCATAGATTGCATGGCCTTGGGTCGCAGGTTCCCACATATCTTCCAGACTGCCCACATTGATAGTTGAAGGAATAGATATCGTCGCGCCCATGATGAAGCGGCCAATGTATACTCCTGCAATGGAGGGTACAAGTCCTGTAATCATGCAACTAAGCGGTAGCAAAAGAGCTGCAAATGTGAGAATCGGTTTTCTTCCGAAGGCTTCTGAATATGGTGGAAATACAATGCTTCCCAGAGCTCCACCAATTCCGTACCTATATAAACAGATGAGAAAGAACATTTTAAAACCCAAAAATCAGTGTATACACTTACATGAGAGAAAAAGCAATAAGTGACTGGGTCTGTGAAATGCCATATTCTGTTGCTGCTTGTGTCGCGGCGATCAACTTTTGACATCGTTAACATACACTATGAAAAAAGGGTTTGGAGAAACGAACACCCCCGGATTCCAGCAGAGCACTTTATCGGAACGAGTTAATATACAGTATTTCCTATCGACAGTGGGGAATCACATACCCAAATGTATCAAGCAAAAAAATGCAAGCCGTATTCGCCAGTTTGCGTTTCAAAGGCCAATTTCGAGGATGATTTTGATTTTTTGGAAGCCAATCGATAATATTATCGTCTGACATTCGAAGACCCAAATCATTGAGTCTGTGAAGTAGGTTTGGAATTGAATCTATTCCTATAGGCAATGATGCCTCAATGAGTTCTGAAGTAGCCAAGGGCTCTGTCGACTTTTCATTACCTGTCATAATGAATTTCTTTGTCGAACAAATTTCTCAAGATATGCCAAGTCGCCAACGAACATGCAATCATGATGATAGCTGTTGACATTCTTGGAAGTCTTGGTAGATATGGCTTATACAGCACTGACCTAACAGAAAACGATATTGACAGAACACCACTAGTAAGACAACGCCATTTAAGGAGAATCTAGTGCTGTCGATCATCACATCTAGCGTACACCGCCACTCTCCTGTATCGTGGAAATGATACTTGAGCAGGAGAGCTCACCTTCGAGAAAGAGATCCGGAATTCTTGAGTACTGTTCTGACATGGTCATGAACGCTCTCCGTTTGACGCGCTTGCCAATCCCATGCCGATGTGCCGGCTCTTCTTGAATGGTGTTCTCCAATAAAAGTGGCGTAAATTGACGAATGCCCCATAATGACACAGACAAGACGAACAGTTTCAACTGCTTGGACATCTTTACTGACTCCAGATATCTACAAAAACAGACTAAATTGCCGCACTAAAGCACGGCATTGTCAATGCCGGATCTGCTCACTAGAACAGACTCAATGCACCACACGATTCGGACTTTGTAGATGACTAATTCATCGAGTACCGACTGGTTTGATGTGTAAATAGGTATATGAAACCTGAGCGAATGGGCGAATGAGACCCAAATCAATTTTATTATGTGATCCATATGAAACAAAATAGAAGTATGGCCTGAACTTTACTAAGATTGCGAATGAATAGAATGCTGCAAGTCATACAACATCTCGGCCTCCTATCCGAGGTATCTGCAATATGAATCTACTTCAGCTCGACCTACATGCCGCAATACCTATACTGAACAGCCATCAGAGAGAAAAAACATATGTAAAGGTTCCTTGAAGCTGTTCGGTGACAAAGTTGCCTGGAACAGAAATGTCCTCCGTTTGTTGAAATATTGGGAATTGCTAGAACTCGAAAACTTGTCCATCCAGAAAATATATAAAGTGCAGCAAGTTCTCCTTCCCAGAGCCTAGGAAGACTTTGCGATTCAACTCGCATCGATAGCAGACATGATAAATCATCGATGTCGGTCTGTGCAATGAATATGGATATCCACTTGAACGTCGTGCAAATGAACAGATGTTGACGAAACAAGATTGGCGATACTAGAGACGCTATGAGTGCCAGTATAGATACCATATGTGAGGTATTTTGTCCATGGCTTCATCTGAAACGGCGGCAAACCATTTGCCACTCTCCAAAGAAGGCATGGACGTTGGACGTCTGGGTGCGGATGTAACCAGAGTATAACCTTATATAGAAAGCTCAACCTTTGTTCCGTATCATCCATTGAGTTTCAAGCCCTCCAAGGATATTGTGTTCCTTGGAATCATCCATTACACATTTTTCTACCAAGAAAATCGTAATGGACGACAACTTCCTGAGAGGACCTCCGGATGTGAAGGTGGAAGTGGAGGTGGAGATGGAATTGGAGTTGGAGTTAGAGTTGGGGTGGACCGTGGAGATAATCTTGGTCTCACCGCTTCCATGATTTACGCTGGCAGAATATCTCCCCAAATGGGGGATCGTGGAGATGGATGACCTTGTCGGCCTCTTGCTATTAAACAACCGACTCTGCCTGAATACTTCTGCAACATTTCTTCTCTTCTCATCTTGACGTCCCTCCTTTGCTTGCTGATAATACGAATATACTACCCAACCTCCCACGTCAGCTTACCACCATCTCAGCCAAAGAAAGAACAAAGACGTTCAGATATTAGAATGCACTCATACGCTACCTCCTGAATCCGCTTCTGTCATTCTCTTGGCTGCCCCAGTTACCTGATATTGGCCAGGGTATGAGATGTCTCCATTCAAACATTTGCTTCTCATTTGATAACGAGGATCAGCAAATACTTCTTTCGTAAGTGAAAAACCAGGCATCACCGTCGATATGCTGCAATCATGCAGATGCCAAGAATGGGTAATCGCTCGCTACAAGCATTGCGAGTACATGATGATGATGATGGTTATTTCTTTCGTGCTATGATTAGTTTGTCATTCTTTTCCTGTCGTCGTCTTTGTTTGCGCATAGTTGAATTTCTGATTGACGTGTTATCGCAATCTATTGACTACCGTCTTTCAACAATGTCCGCCTTCTCTCGCTCTAGCACTGGCATCGCCGTGGTCCAGCATTTTTCCTCCCTCATAACCGGCAAAACAATCGTCATAACAGGTCCTTCAGCCAATAGTATCGGCGCCGAGAGCGCCATCTCACTTGCTCATGCTTCTCCTTCAGTCATCATTCTAGCTGGACGTTCAGAAGCCAAGATTTCTCCTGTTATCAAAGAAATTCACACTCTCAACCCTTCCATCACGACCCATTTTGTACCCCTCGATCTTGCTTCTCAGAAATCAATAAGGAAAGCCGCTTCTTTGATCAATAGCCTGGTTGAAAAGATCGAGATTCTGATTAACAATGCAGGTGTGATGGCTATACCAACTTATCAAACAACTGAAGATGGAATTGAATTACAATTCGGTTGTAATCATGTCGGTCATTTTCTCCTTACCAATCTAATTTTGGAAAAACTTTTGAAGGCAGGGAGAGACGGGAGAGCGAGGATTGTGAATGTTAGTAGTACTGGGTATGAGCTCGGGGGTGTTCAATTTGATGATTGGAATTTCAGCGTATGGACATTTGCTCAAATCTAACTGTCCAAACGTTAATCACACGAGTAGGAAGGAACAGACTACGACCCTTGGCAAGCATATGCACAATCTAAAACGGCGAACGTTTTGTTCTCTAGTACTTTGGCCGCAAGATTAAAGGATAGAAATATACAATCTTTTGCACTTCAGCCCGGATGTGAGTTTTTCGAAATCTCATTTCAAAGGACCATCAAATGTTAACGCACGTCCCAGATGTACCAACAAGCAATCTTCAAGCTCATGTCACTTCGGAAATGTGGAGCAATGTAATGCAACAGGTTTCCGAATCTTCGGGTGGTATGTATTTCGCAGTTACTAGCCATATACGGCGCATATCAGACTCACACCTCTCCAGGTCAAGAATTCGAACCTCCGAAAACACTCCAGGAAGGATGTTCCACCACCTTGGTCGCAGCGTTAGACCCCTTCATCTCTGGTACCTAATCCCATCTCCTCCCCTCTCTACTCTTCTCACAACATCATGCCTTCCCAACATACCCCTAACCACTAAACCCTCCACAGAATCATCCGGCGGGTTCCTCCAAGACTGCATCATCAGACCCGTGCCACAAGATCACGCAGTAGGCGTAGGGAACCAAGTTCGATTATGGGATTTGAGCGAGAGGCTGGTGGGACAGCAATTTGACATTTTCACTTAAAAGGTATCATGATTCTCATTCGAGGAGTATTTATCAATGTGTATTATTACAGCTTAGTCCTGGCAGCTCGCAATGGGAACGATGCTCATCTTTATACTTGTAGTAGGCATCTGGAATAAGTTTGCTAGGCGGTTTACGATGGGCTATTCGATTTAGAGATTGGTCGGGACAATTTTTGTAATCTTATGTCTCACTCCCAAATGGGGAAACAAATTTCAATCATTTATACATCATATATAGATGATAATTGCAATCCCAATCTAACTCAATCTAAAGATTAATCAAAACAATTTTTTGGGTTCTCGTATTCCATCCATGAATGAGAGAAGAAAACTCAACCACCCACACACCATATATAGATCACAAGTGCGATCCCCATCCGATCCCTATCCAAATTGCCTCAAACCTCAAACCCCACCCCAGCTCCCCCAACTACTTCATAACCACAAAAATCATCGCCTAATCATAACACCATACAGTTAGTTAGTCAGTCAGTCAGTCCACTTCACCCGAATATTCCAATTCCAATTCCACTCCCCATCCCCATCCCCATCCCCATCCTCCAAAACCCACAAAGCTAAAGACTCCAGACAGCATACAAACTCTCAATCGGCCCCTCCACACACACACCACAACTAACCCCTTAAGCCTGCAGAAGATCAACCGATCGATTCACAAACTCTAGAGCATAAATCTTTCTATTCATATATACGTCTATCCATAAGCAAACCTCACCCATACAAACCTCAACCCTCTCAACCCTCTCAATCCACTACCTCTTACCACCATAATAAACAAACAAACCAACCAAGACATTTCCTGTCTCCCACGTCCCATCTCCACTATTCAATCAAAAGGGGCGTGGAAAGAAAGAAGAAAGAAAGAAAGAAGCGAGATCCCACCCAACCATCGAATTCAACCCAATTCAGCACCCACATCTTTTCAATCCAAACCCAAGGCCGAGCCCATTTACGCATTCGAAACTCCTTCATGGATTGGTGGAGTCAAGAATAGTACGTGATAATATCGTAGATGCCTATATTAGGATGGACAAAGGAATGAGATGAACGGGCGTGAGAAACTATTCCTAATCCTGCTCAGATCATGCATGCGTGCGCAGACTTGACAAGTAAAGCTTCATCCACAGCTTCTTCTCCCAAGACTCAATCACATAGCAAACATCACTCATACCATATCACATCAAAGCATACAAGAGTAAATCACAATCAAGCATCGTGCGAAATAATCTAGTCCATTAAACTCTGATCTCGAGACTGCAATTAAGCGCTCAAAATTAAATTCCTAAACTGGACCGTTATTTCCATCTCCCCCTCCCCTAAAATAACCTTCCTCCATTCTCCATCAAGCATCTCATAAATTTCTCCTCTGAGAATGATGCGTCCAGTCATCTCTCGCTCTAACTTATGTCGCTTCGCCAAGGGTATATTAAAAAATAGTTGTGTAAAAGTCCAAAAGGTGAATAAAACCAATTTTAAATTGATTTTAGTGAAGATTTTTCTCCCATCCGTCAATGTTGATACGATTTGAGGGTATGAATGTTGAATAATATGTCGTAATCGTCGTACTTAAAAAGCAAAGTCTCCAGTAAAGTAAGTGGAGTAATTGTGGAATATAAAAAGCATGTATGTGCAAAAGTAAAGCTTGTGTAGAGGCAGAGATACCGAGCGCACGAGGATTAGCACAGGCTCAAGGTCATCGTCCGTTATCCCACAAAAAGTATCAAAAACGCCATGCTCCCGTACTCGCTGATGCGAGGGGGCATATCCCATTTCCCATTTCGGTTTCCCATCAGATCGTCAATTCGCGTGTTGAAAAATAAAAAATTCGATCAATGCTCGCCGGCAACAGGTTCACGCTAATCCCCGCCATATGCAACCATCCCAAAACTCCATGCTGAAATTTATACAGACCCAAGTCGTAAAAGTGCTTCAATGGCTTCTCGTTCTTGAGAATCTGCAGAAGCCATGTTCAAAGCGGTGAAACCGCTAGGGGTGTGGGTTCGTGGTGGTGCTGGAAGGGAGTGTCCAACAACAGAACGCAACCCTCCCCTATATACATGAGAATTGAAAACTTGTGGAAGTGGCCCCGAAGTGAAGGGTCCAGACGCTGAATAAGAAGCTGCTCGCAATGCAGCGGCTCCAACTGCTGCCCAGTCCTCTTCGTCTGTTACATCGTTTGGGTCATCCT